TGTAATTTAAATTAACCAACTACAGTTTTTAGTAAATAAAAGGACCAAGGAACTACAAGTTACGCTATAGTGTCCACAAACATCACCAGTTGCTTGAAAATCAGCTCATGCGATAAGCCCTGATTGGCGATAACAAGAAGTGAGAATAAAGAATTCAAAAAAAGCCGATAACAAAGGACGACCCGGACCGACAGTACTGACGTTCTACAACTAACTACAATCAACTCTAGCACGTAGTGGATGCGCATTCCAACTGCCTTCCGACTTGGAACGTTCTAAGTTATAGGAATAACATAGGAGGGGAAGGTGCGAGCAAGCAGCTGTAAGTCTAAGTCGTGAAGGACTTTGGCGAATGTACATGCATGTCAATGACGGTCCTGGCAAGGCCATTGGAAAAATAACGGTCAAAGCACGATTCAAGGACGCACAGCAGCATACCACACAACTTGCGTGGCTTTGAAGATTCGAAATACAATTGAAGAGAACGCTAAGCCAAAAACAAGAATCATGTATAACCGAAGGGCCTCAGTAAAACAGTATTGTACTTCACCTATGACAATTTAGATGGACAATAAGCAGCAGTAACAAGCAACAGTTTCACACGACGATCGTTTCGCCGTATATATATAAGGAAGGCTCATCCGATGTGCATGGATGGACTCGGATGGAGAGCCAAGTATGTATTAATACTTTCTAGCAAAGAAAAGGAACCAGGAACTACAAGTTACGCTATAGTGTCCACTAACACCGACAGATACTTGACAATCGGCTCATGCGATAATATTGCACGACACTGACCGACGGTACTGACGTTCTACAATCAACTGCCAATCAGCTCCAGCCCGTCTTGGATGCGCACTGCAACAGCCTTCCCACTTGGAAGGTTCAAAATGTTAGAAATAACATAGAAAGGGTAGGTGTGCGCAACCAAAACAAGCACAAAGTGCAGTTGTGAAGGACGTTGGCGGGTGTACGTGTGTACATGCATGTCGATGACGACTCTGGGAAAACCATTGGTCAATACGGTCAAACAACGAATCAAGGATGCAAAGCAACATACCACGCAATTTGCGTGGCTCTGAAGATCGTGGTTTGATCGTATTGTCCGATGGTCTTGCCAGCATCGTCATCGACATGCATGTACATCCCGCCAACATCCTTCACAACTAAGACTTACAGCTTGTGCGCACCGTCCCCTCCTATGGTACTCCTATAACTACTTAAAACCTTCCAAGTTTGAAAGCTGTTGGAGTGCGCATCCAAGACATGAAAGAGATGATTGACGTTAGTTGTAGAACGTCAGTACGGTCGGTCAGTGTCGTGCAATATTATCACATCAGCTGATTGTCACGTAACTGGTGGTGCCAGTGCGGGGCACAATAGTACTGGGGCCAATTCAAAAAATCGACCTCTAAAATACATGCCTTGACACATGTTGGCTAACAAGGATTTTTCGGTGTTATTTGATAGATAATGTCTTCAAGAGCATCTTCGCCAAGTATGGTGTGTCCAATCGCGTCCAAAGGTCCCGAAATCACCCTCGATAGGAATACAAAATTGCCGAAAAGCTAAGTTCTCATCGGCTATATTCAAGCATTTTCAAGACTTTCTCGGTACTATATCGACTGGACCTGGGAGTTTTTACCCTTTTAGGTGCCAGGAGCTAGTAACACCGTACATACACAGAATGCGAACCGACGCGTCCACGGATTTTGTGCGAGAGTCGGAAACTTTGAGCATCAAGTAGTGTACATTGTAATTGTGATTATACCAGAACGGTGTTACCTCATTTCGACATTTTCTTCAAAGTTTTGCATTGACTCGCTGGCGCTTTAGCTGTCGGAACGTCCACGAATGGATCGATGCTAAGTTCAGCAGAACCTTCATTACATCTTGGCTCCCCGAAAAGTAGGCATGATTCCAACAAGGAGCAGCACAACAATTATATTGTGTGGAAAGCAGGGGAAAGGTCATCATAGCTTGCCAAGCCAGTTGTAAACTATTCATAGGACGACTCTACTACCGTGGAAAGTTTCAGACCTGGTTTACTTCATCGGGCTGGAATGAAGGCATTTACTTTGTGAGTACAGGATGTGTTACAGTGGACGAGCATTTGATTCGAATCTCCAAGAGCAGCTAGTGTTAGTACCATGATTTGAACACACCAACCGTGGTGATCAGCTACCATTTAATAATACAGCACGCATATAGCTCATATGAAAAATCAAATGAGGGTCATGCATCTGTCGACAACGTCGAGCCAGTGCGTTCTGTCTGAGGCAAGTTGCTCCGCTTCCAAAAGAGACATATTGAGAAGTAAAAGGTCATTCCTAATGTTGTCTACCCATCTGGTCACTGGGCGACCTCTGGGCTTCTTTATATCTGTTATATTCATTGCCATGTGAAGGGCTTTGTAGGACACAGCGTCCTTCCCTTCACGAATGACATGTCCAAACCATAATAAGCGCCGGCGTCTACAGACTGCACTTATTGGGCATTGAGCAGTTTTAGCATAAAGAGCATTATTCGAAATTTTATTGGGAAAGATGATTCCAAGTATGTATCTGAGTTTACGGCGGTGCCATACATCAATTTTGCTTTCTAAGGCTTTTGTTAGAGTCCATAGCGCGCCGTTATATAGGAGAACTGGCAAAATGAGACAGTTGAACATGCTTAAGCGGGACTGCTGGGTATGGCGTTTCCATGATACACTGGAAAATGCCCGGTTCGCTGCTATGATACGTGCATCAATGTCCTCCGCTGACCCTAGACGAGAACCCAACAGTTTGACAGCTACCATTTGCACAAAGCCTATTTACCAGCTCAACAGCTCTAGGACTACTGCCTTAGGAGTGGCATGCTGCGGCGAGAGGGAGTAGCTAAGTGTTACAAAAACGAAATCCGAGTACCTTGAGGTAACCTATACCAATATTCAACACCAGCAGTAGAAGAATCCTTTCCCTGTCACAGAATTTGATGGCTGGGCCTAGGCAGTGTGAAACTACAGTTATACTTATAAAACACTAACTGCAAGAAAGAGTCCGATGTCCAATGCCATGGCTTGTCTCTCCTAAACTGATCACGGCATGTAGTTGATGCGATTCAAGAGCGGCGGTGAAGAGGGAAACCATGTTTATATAATACCTCATGTACTAGTGGCTAAAGAATTATTGTCCATGACTGCAGAGCAAAGAGTGATGGTGTAGGTGATGGAGCAGGGATGTGTTGTACGGCGTAGAGTTGAGTTCCCAACGCTCAGACGGAAGAACAACTTCAGTTAAAGTGAAACATATGGAAGCGACAGTATTTGTATCACAATGTTCGGATTGATCAGCTTTTTAAACTCCAGGTATTCACATGTGAGTGTTGTCCAACTGCAGCCTTGAAGTCTTTTCAAAGCATTTAAGAATAGTGACAAGCTAGCCAATGTTTGGACTGTTTATCTATGCAAAGGATTTTGGTATTTTCATTTTCATCATTTCTTTGTTACAGCACTGCCATCGCATACAAGTAGTGCTCTCATTCTTACATTGCTGCGAGATCTATCGTATTATCTACACGTACTTCGAGTAAATTAGTTCAGGTTGCAACTGTCCTATAGCATTTCTTTCCTTAGACTCTGACAGTGTCTTACCCACCTTTACCTTCTACTGTCAGTACTTGGTTTACAATACCTATTCTCTCAGTTGAAGTGGAACGCCCAACCGTCTGACGCTTCTCTCTCTCTCTCTCTCTCTCTCTCTCTCTCTCTCTCTCTCTCTCTCTCTCTCTCTCTCTCTCTCTCTCTCTCTCTCTCTCTCTCGTGTTCGCAGTCTGGTAATTATAGTATTGCATGCATGTAAATAGTATCATGTACCTGCTAGCTGCACATACATGTACACGTACCTCAATGCTAACATTCGACGTGACATGTAATGTACATGTACGTACATGTACATGTACAATATCCAAGTTTCACTGCACTTTGGACATTTTGTTTTGACACTGTAGAAGTACAGTACTTGTCGCCGTACTGTATCTACTGCTTATTCTGAGCAAAATGAGGTGCTACTTGGCCATATACGTGTCAGTAGAAATGGATATATAGGAGCAATTCTAGTTAGGTTGCCATGGTAATGACGGCCTTTTCTATTTTGATGCTTTTCACCATGTTCGGACACAATTCGGCAATCGAAACCTATGCCATCGTATTCAGGAGGCAAAAACCATCCAGGAATGATCATAAAATCCATGTTAGCAAACATGTGTCAAGTAAAAGTGAGAAATTTCAAATGGGCCCTAGGACTACAAGTTATGCGTTAGAGTCCACCAACTAAACCAGGTTTTGAACAGTCGGACGTGCACAAGGTAGCACCTGACTCAGTCCGGGGCTACCTTGTGCACGTCTGACTGTTCAACACAATGGTTTACACTCATTCTGGTGCTACCTTGTGCACATCCGACTGTTCAAAACCTGGTTTAGTTGGTGGACTCTAACGCATAACTTGTGCCCCGCCGTTTTCCTTGGAAAATTAATAGTTTCCTTTGCTCACCATCTCAGTACTAACTTCATTATCAAAGGCCTAATGTATAACTCCACCTTCCAAAATCCAAACTGACCATATCCCACTATATGTTTACTTGTGATTCGTGGGCCACCCATCAGCCGGTGGGTTTGCTAGATGACCGTACTGACACTGCCAAAGCACATGCAACGTCACACGTACTTCACTGGTCTCTTGCCATTCTTATCTGTATATCTGTATCTCAACACCATGAGGTTGTATGCATGTGCAGTAATTCGTGGTGCGATATGAATGAGATGTCAATGGACATGAGAGTGTTGTCTTCGCCTATGTTCAAATCGTGATGGTGATGTTTTCACCCCCCAACCCACAGTACTGTCTCCCACAGAATGTCTACGTTAGAATATTGTTGCTGGGGCACCCAAAGTCACAGATTTGGCTTTGCAAACTTCTGTTATTGCTCAAGCGTCGAAAGCAGAGAGCTTTATTCTTCCACAAGTAGATCATGATTGAAAGGAATTGTCTTTGTGTTATGATATGGTTTGAAATAGTGGTAATATGATGTTAAATCGGAATAATCAAAAGGATAAAATATCGAAGATATTGCAGAAGGATAATACATGTAGAGGAGACAACATGGGAACTTTTGGTTGGTAGGGACCATAATAGTAGGCCGTTTGTTTGAGCTGATTGCACGGAAATGATTCGGATTAATACATGTATTTGGATATGCATGTTGCCTGGTGATCGTGACTAAAACACAACACAGCTTCCCTCTCTACCTCTCTCTCTCTCTCTCTCTCTCTCTCTCTCTCTCTCTCTCTCTCTCTTGTGTTATCTGGATATACATGTAATTTGGACGGATTGTAACGTTAGAGATCATGAAACACATGAAGCAAATAATAGTGATCTACGTTTAGGCGTACACTTCTAGATTCGTGCAGAGCGAGTTTACTACACTAGTGAAATGCGAACGCATGCATTACGCCGTCGTAAATATTTCCACTTAGTTCTATGCAACATCATTCAATTTGATTGAAGAATAGATGCCTCAGCATTCATATCTACGGCAGGTGGGGTTCTTGTTGCAGCGCTGCCCGACCAGAATTGCCTTTATCTGCATTTCCCAGTGATTGCCAACTTTCTTTAAATAAGAAAAAGGATATTTGATTGGAAGGCAGTTGCAACCATAAAAATGGTGAGTACGTGTGGGCGGTATTTGCTCATAGTGGAGTCGTGGAAATGTAACCACGCCGGGCACGAATTCGGCACACCGGACCTTCTGTTTGCAATTTCCGTGGCGTGCCTTTTGACGGTGCGTGGGACCCATTTGCATATGTTGGCTAAACTTCCGCCCGTGGTCCCTACAGTCGATCAAGTAGAGTTCGATTGCCTTCCAATTGTCTCCAAGATCGGCTGTGACGTCACTGTCAATTCTAACATCCGTTAGATTTCTCACGCTTGCCTCACTGTGCACAATACACACGGTGATGGTGAGTGCAAGGAGTGACAGAGCCTGCGCATGGACAAGGACAACAAAAAAATAAGGACATCTGTAAGGTAAGGCGAATCATTCGCCTGGGAGCACGTCTGAAACACCTATCACAGGGATGCCTTTCAATCATCCGTATTATCATCAAATCCTAAAATTTAATAAAGGGGTTGTGATGCTCATGACACTATCTACCCCAAGGCCCAGGCAACATCCGAATCACTTTTTTTTTATTCAAAACCTCCCTTTTATGGAATTTTCTCCCAGCCACATTGACTTCGGAATCTTCTGTCCATGTATTCAAGAAAGAGCTGCCCAAACATTCCTTTAAGTATTCAGGTATACTCTCTGGCATGCCGCTACCCTGTGCATAACAGCCCCCCCCCCCCTTCCCAATCTGTACTCCATGTACCATCATCATCCTTCAACGCAACGGACCCCACGACAGGCGGTCAGCCTTTGGGTCGTCCTAATAAAGTTAATATTACTATTATCAAGAGTACATGTAAGAAAGGGTTTGCTCCCCACACTTTCTTACAAATCATCGCCGAAGTCGCAACCACTACTTCGTAAGAGTACATGTACTCTTGTTTTTATGGTGATAAAGAGAAGGACAAAATGTTAGGAGTTATGACTAACTGTCCACGAACGTAACCAGATCTTATACAGACAGCGAGCAGCATCCGAGTTCAACTATAAACTTATGTTATTTTTTGTTTAATAATGATGTCACACAGACATGCCTGTACGCACATGACGTTACTTACAGGTGTCATTGTTACGTTAGTCGTTAGTGCCGTGCCAGCACTTCGCTTCAGCTTCACAAGAGGGGTTGAAAGACTGTGATCAGGAAACCAAGCCAGACAAAGTATGTTACCGGTTTGAACTCAGAAGAACATGAATCTCTCCCCCCCCCCTCCCCTTGTAAACTCCTTCACCTGAGTGCTAAGCGTAATGCTAAATTCTATTTTGCTCCTGGTGTACAGTGCCCTGTAGTCACCAGCATTCCTGATACCTGTATATTATTGTAAAGTCATTAACACTACAAATTACAATATGAATACCAAGAGTACATACCCCCCCCCCCTCCCAGAGCCCCGGGTGGATTATGTACTCTTGTTATAATCATGAGCCATTTGGTAGAGCCCCGGTTTTGGGATCATTTGAACTGTGTGGGGTCTGCCCCCGGTGGATCCTCAATACTCCGGGGTCTTCACAAAAAAATTAAAAAATCAATCATGTACGTGGCGTATTCCTACAGCAATGAGCGCGACCAATAGCTCTTCACGCTATTCTCACATTTAGCTGCTTGCATGTGCCAATGTTCCGGACATGTATGTGGAAAGCGCGCATTTGCGCCATTTCTGCTGTATATCATTCCTTTACACTCCATTATCCTCAGTATCATCCTCTAACTGATGAGCTCCAAGGAGCCTCGGAAGCAGCTGTCCAGAGGGGTAACAAATATCTGTCAACGGAAGTGCCCTTGGTGTGCTGGTGTTTATGTTTTGTGCATTGGTTCGACTGAGAGCGCGTGGTGGTGACGGGTTGAACATGTAGTGAATTGGAGTGTTGCCGAAAGCTCTGGCGCCGCGAATATTTACTCATGTACAATCATGTACATTGTATGTCTTGTTTGTACTGGAAGTCTATGGTATCAGCTGAGTATTTTGTTCATTGTTGGATGTCTGTCTCGTGTCGATAATGTCCTCCCTGCAATTGTAATCGATAATCATCTGGCCTGCGGACATGTCTGCGTTATTCCTGGTTTGTCCACTTTATTTGGCTGTTTTCTACATCATGAATTCGGGGATCTTCAACTAAACACTCAACAGTTTCCTGGCTGCATACGTCACCAAAATTAATATGCTCACCAAATTTTCAGGCATGGCACATCATGAGGGTGAAAAGTTGCACTGAAAACAGAACTATCTCTTCAGTGAATCTCTTCAGAATCTGACGCTTCATTAAGGATCCCGATAACGCCCTACTACTCCATCTTCAAAGGTTTTGTTTATTATACTTTTATTCCACTATGGCGTCACGCCAAAAAGGACAATTGATAAGTGTGATTGAATTCAATACCTCATTTTCCAAACATTTCGGATAGGTTTTGATGGTCTATTCTTTTGATAGCATAGCTGATTTTTTTACTGTGGGAGTCAACGGTTAACTTGCGGGAAGAAACTTTTCTTAATAAAAAAGTAACAAGCTGTAGTCACTTCTTTCCTCGGATGTTGAAATCAGTCTCGGACGCAGATATCTCGTGACTCGGAAGTCTCCGATATAGTTGTCGTATTGGGTTGTTGTACTTTGAAATACCTCTGGCCGTGTCATTCAGTAGACTGAGAACAAAGGAGGAGATTAATTTAAAAATAATTTAACCGGTGCTCAGTTAGCTGGCAATATTGAGCCGTAAAACCTAGTGCCAGGTCGATCCCAGAACTTACCGTCAGACTTTCGTGTAGAGATCGGTTTTCTTCACACTCTCGGCAGTGGTAAGGGAGTCAGATCGTACGGCACAATAATTATTATCACTCAAACTACATTTATCCTCTATTGAACAAGAAAGCGAATGGGTAAGTAGCAAACCAGGAGCTCGTTTTATTGCCTTGTTGCAGAACTCTGAGAATTGAGGCGAAGTCGAGAAGGCAGGTAAAGCGGTGTCATGTATTTTGCGTGGAATAGCCTTTAGCTCTGTGTTGGAAGAGATAATGTAGGATGGGTGGAGAAGGTCTACCTAGAAAGCGATCAAGATTGGCGAATAAGAGAGCGAGCTTGAGGGGGTTGCAAGCGACGTAAAGTCAGATAGAAGGGTTTGCGGTAAGTCAAGACCTCGTGATGTGTGCCTTACAGTACAGTACAGTACAGTGCTGCTCAATGAAATCCACTCTTGCACCATTTCGCAGTCCAGTGTTCGCAAGTGTTGGCCTAGCCGGCTGCGCAACGCTATTACACGACAGAGATGGTCAAAAAGCCGCGTAAACGTACTTGCAACTCGGATGGTGAGCCAATCAAATTATTGTGAAAAGTTAGTCATAACTCGTAACATTTTGTCCTTCTTCTTTTCACAAAAACTTACTTGCGTTCGTATATTAATACCAAGAGCTCAGGGGTGCTATGTACTTCTGCTCTTGTAAATACCTGCAACTACTGAGTATTGGTAGCCATGCACAAGGTTCTGAGACCCTGGCATCCTGCTGCAGTGGGGATACGTTTATTTTTTTGGGGGGGATACGTTGCATTCTGCGATAATACGTACAGTGTACATGGTTCTGAGAACAGACCTGACAGGCTTGATGCCAGTGGGCAGTGGCTGATGTAAGGAGAGAGAGAGAGAGAGAGAGAGAGAGAGAGAGAGGGGGGGGGGGGAGTAACTATAATCACCATCCATGCTGCCTGGCTCTGCGGAAGAACTACTTACTTCTTGGGTCCACAGTATATGCAGGAACACTTTGAAAAGATAACCAATACCTGTAGCCCCACGCCATCCTGCTTCTATCTTCATCTACATGATGTATTTTATCAGCGATGAAATACAGCAGCGCATACGCGATAGAGGTTAAGCGATTACATCATCAGTATGTAACAAGATGGCAACGTCTGTAGGGCCTTCCCAAAATAATAAATTCTACTGCTACTACTATTCTATTTCTAGTTGAGGTGCTTGGGCGAAGTCGCAGACCTGCGCCGCTGCACTTGCACTAGCGACTCACGCTGCGTACTCATTCGAAAAACTGGAGACTCACGCTAGTACGATCCTATGCTTGTGTACCATGGTGTACTGTATAGTCCTTATGCACATTGTACAGATGTACGAAGTTCTGTACTATGGCCGTAGGTGTGTACATACCCGGTTGGGTGTTCATTGTGTGCTATACATGCGCGTTTGACCCATTTAGCCTCACAATTCATGGCAAACGATCACTTTTCAAGCCTTCTTCACTTTGGGATTGAACTAACGACTAGCTAGATCTCTGCCGGAAAAAGATTTCGTATGAAATGCCTTCATGGCCCATTTCATAGTGGAAATAGCAGTAAACACAATAGGGTCCTGCACATTCAACACCCAACCGGGTCTACGGGATTCTACAAGATTATACGGGATTTCGTGCATCTGTACAATGTGCATAAGGCCTATTGAATTTTGTTTTCTATTTTTACAGCGCAAGTCAAACGGGCAATCATGCCCACTGTCCATTTGAAAATCAGATTACATGTATCTTGCTGAAATCGTTCGCATACCCCCTATTATATACTCAGTCTAGACTCTATTATAGCGTTACTGAGATCCTTCCACCTTACGTTATGTTACCGCAATGCGCACCTGCACGCACACACGCATGCACATACAATCATGTACAAAAAATACACGCGCATAACAAACTGATAAAATGTGGAGACATGTCATGTGCTTTCTGACCATGCTCTCCCGCCGACGCGTCGTTAGGTACGAGGTGATTTGGCTTTTTTAAACAATTACATGGTTGTCGCTTTTTCATCCACTTCTAGGAAAGCTACGTCCACACGAATTGTTGCAAGTGGAAGTGCTATCCTTCATGCCCGTTCTGTCAAAAAATGGGAATGAGCTCACTTTGTAAAGTGTCTTCAATCATGTCCTACTTTCATAGTATTCTCAGCAGAATAGTATTCAAATAATTGGTGTGTCATTTTCAGGAATTAACAAATTTGTAAAATGGCATCACAAACCGGGAGATTCGATCATCAATGTTCTGAAATTGATAGATATCACTTCAAGGATTGCTAGTGGATGAAAATTAACTTGTCAACTGCATTGTATGCTGCGAAAGCTGTGTTTTAGAATTTGTAATTAGTGGCTGTGGCATACGGTGGAATTGGATAGGTAGCATAGCACCGTCCTCAGGTATATTTTCGTTCTCACAGAGTTTATTCCGTGACCCACTGTTCTTTATTATTGTCTTTAGTGATGGCAAGACAGCCTGACCTAGTCCAAAACTCCCTGCGGAAGCAATTCACTGCCCTCATTGTCCATTCAGGGCTTATTTTACAGATTTTACACAACATGGCAAAGCACCCACCACTATTTATACCGACGTGGTAGGGAGAATTAAATTATATGCACCAAATGTCCCAATCGATCATGCCCTTGGTCAATGTTGACCTACGATAAACTGGCTCTCATTTGCCTGTTGCCACCACCGTACCCATGCACCCATGTTTTGATACAGCCATCCGCGGATCCGGAGCATGCATGCAAACAGCCACAAGAAGAAAAGCAAATTTTACACATTATTTTTACGAAATATTTAAAATAAGAATTTTTCGTTTTCTTGCTTTACAAATGCAAGTACATGTAGTTGGTTGCATGCCTAATTTGGACTCCCTTGAGTTAGCTATTGTGTCCCTTCCATCATGATTATGACTCAAAGAAAGAAGTTCCAGGCCCTCTTTCATCGTCTTCATCATCATCTCCATCATCTTCATCGTTGTCGTCAGGCCCAGACTCGTCGGACGACTCCAGCTCGCGCCGTCATAGAAAAACTGAAAAATTCAAAAATCGAAAAAAATCCAGAAGTTAGTTCCTCGACCCTGGTTGCCACCTGCAACGAAATCTGAGGAAGACCAGGCTGCACCTGGGAAAGCTGAAGGGCGGCCGGCGTCTCTCCAAAAGCTAAAGAGAGGTAAGTTGTTGCTGTCTGCTAGACAAGAATGGTTGGTGGTGGCAGATGGGCATGGTCATGAAACGGCCAGCAGATTCCAGGGGGGGGGGAGAGAGAGAGAGAGAGAGAGAGAGAGAGAGAGAGAGAGAGAGAGAGAGAGAGAGAGAGAGAGAGAGAGAGAGAGAGAGAGAGAGAGAGAGAGAGAGAGAGAGAGAGAGAGAGCTGGTCGACATCATGTCATCACAAATAATATTATGCGAAAAGCTAAATGCTGCCATTCAGAATACTGACCAAAAAGCCCCCGTTGCAAGGCAGCCCTTTCGAGCTGGTGTCCCAGCCACCTCCACCAGATTCCAAAATCATCGTCGAAGTCGCAACCACTATTTCGTACCATGACCTGTTTCCTTTATTCTCTACCATCTACCAGAAGTAGTCACTGATGAATTCCGGAGAAAAACCTTTCTGTCCAAACGAATCGGTGTCCGTTGGTTGTCGATTGGTTGTGTTTGTATCAAGAATTGCTATCTTGTCTCCGACTAGAATATTTACGTATTGGAAGTACAGTCTGTATCGGCTATAGCGTACCCTTTTGATTTCCGTGATTTTATCACTATAACCGATGCATCACTATATGCGATACGATCAATTTTTTTTCTTTTTTCGATCGACGCATGAAAGGCAAGGAAATACTTCCAGCTAGCATGGCGTTTTGACAAATGAGCATGCTGCATAGTTGACAGTGCCCGCATTTCCATAAAAGTATTCTGTTATGTACATGTACATGTATCACTATAAAAATAAGCAACGTGAAGAAAGAAAAAAAATAGGGCCTTTGATATCATTGCTACATGTATTTTAAAGTTATCACTATAGCCGATAATAATATAGTGTGTTATGCATGTTTTGATTCTTTGTTGCCATCATAATATCCGATATAATTACATCCGATAATATTGGTTATAGTGATATTTGTATTGGACAAAATACGTTTTGTTTTTGATATTTCGTACCAATATCACTGTAGCCGATATATTCTTATATCCGGTCACTCTATAGCCGATACAGACTGTACTTAGGTTTTCCTGGGTGGGGAAGGGTGGGGATCACAGCTGGTTTGTTTTCTGTGTTCTGCCCTTCGGTCTATCCACTGCTCGATACATTTTCATAATCGTGACCCGTGTTTTACTCAGACATTGGCGGAAAGACAATATCAGATGCCAGCTCTCCATGGATGAAGGGTCGGGTGAACACTCTACGGTCGAGGGTGCACTGGCAATAGTGAAAATAATTCAAAAGATTGAAATAAGATCTGATTCAGGCTTGGTTTGTTCCATAAACGAACAGAAGTGCCACCGGGAGGTGAACATGAGGGAGGGGATCATTCGGGTCACTAAGGGACGGGTGGAAAAGCTGAAGAGTTTTGTAAAAGGGATGTCACAGGTTTAATATCCAACTGCCAGACAGTTAGCCAGGCTTACAGGGTATTTGCTATCTATGTCGCTGTCATTAGGTCCCGTTTGCAGGTTGAGTAGGAGGTCATTTGTTGCACTGATTATGAGCCATGAGTTATGGCATGCAAAGCTCAGCTGGTTTCGAACGGCGCTTGAAGATCTGGAATTTTGGTCGGGTTCGTTTGGTCAATACCACGGTCAACCATTCTGGAGGAAAAGACCCACCAGGGTGACAGAGCTCTCCTGGTCCGACACGGGCGACTCTGGCTGGGGAGGTTTCTCAGTTAGATTTTTGGAGCTGTGGCTTGAGGCCAAGACAAGGCACCACACAGCCAAAGGAGCTCAATTCACTAAAGGAGAATGGGCCAAATCAATTTTGCAAGCCAGTGCCAGTGCCAGCTCCACATGGCGGGAGCTGCGAGCCATTTTAGTAATTCTGATTTCGCTGTCGAAAGAGATTGAAGATGGCGTTTGCATTCAAAGAACCGATAACCAGGCAGCTGTGCGCATCATACAAGCAGGCAGTTCTAAACCTCATTTGCAGAGAAAAGCACTTGAGATTCACAAGCCGTGCACAGAAAATTAACGGGCTGATTACCTTTCAAAGGTGCCTGATATGGATGACAGCCATCATGCAGCTAATCTGAAATTGTACCATTTGCTGGATTCAGTGTGGAGCCCTCACAGCATTGATCATTGCTTTGCAAGCAGCAGAACAAGGCAAATGAGTAGATTCTGCTCAAGGTGGTGGAACCCAGGGTGCTCGGGTATTGATGCATTTGCTATGATATGGAGCGGAGAAAGAGTTTGGCTGGTGCCACCAATGTACCTGATAAGGCGTTTGGTGGATATGGAGATCCTGTCAAAATGCCATCGTACCGCCTTATATTCCGAAAAGTATTGTGCAGCTTTGGTCATTTCAGTGGCTATCGGCACCACGGTGGCCAAAGTAACGCGTAGTGGCCCAAAGTAGCCAGCCTTTGTTACGGAGGCGATCAGCCTACCAATGTCACCTGATACCTTCCTGGAGGGTACTTGTCCATATAATTTCCTTGGTGGCAGTGTGAGTCCTTGTGAAGTGTATGCACTACGCATTTGTACAGTGACACACTATGTGTTTTAGAAGAGGGATGCTGTAATTACCTGGCTGCTGGAATTTTCTCTGACGGAAGGATCTGTGTTTGTGGAGCATGCGGTGATGAGCGAGAATGCATGCGGTGTCTGGGAGGTCCTGCTGCAGGATGTCCCCACTGTGGGGAGGCGATTGTGCTCTGAGCATGTGATCAACTGCCTGGCAGTGGAAAGCTGTGGATATGGGTGAATTGCTGAAGTGGTGGAAGATAGCCATGTAGCGACGACAACCCCCTGGGTGAAGACGGACGCTGTCGAGTTTACAGCGCCGACATAGTCAGCGATATACATTGACAGATACTATTCTATTCCCTACTCAGACCCAGCTAAGGACAACTTCTCAGAGAACATGAAGGCGCTGGAACAATGTCTGCCATCCATTATGACTATGAGTCGTGCACCAAGAACTGTGAAGAAGTGCAAATCGGCTTTCTGCCGATGGAGTAAGTGGGCAGCACGTTAGAAGGTGCCTCACTTCCCAACAGACCAGTTTCATGTAGCCCTATATCTAGTCATGGACGCACACTGTGCCAGGTACATGTTCTAGCGGTGTAGTGAAGAATGCGATGCAGGCAGCCAAATGCTCACTTGCTCGACCGACGGATAGAAAAGTGCCACTATCCACACCGCTTCTGGAGCACCTCCATCGGAAGCTGTCAAGCTCATCACTGCAAGACCTGCCGACCCTAACCCTCATAGTACTGGGTTATTCTGATAAGATGAGGTGGTATGACTTGGCCAATATCTTCATGGAGGAGATTGTCATCAAGTCATCGCATACGGTTGTCTTCCTGCAAGTTCGCAAGAACCACCCACTGAGGCAAGGTAGCTGGGTGTTCATCAGCCGGTGGGGGAGTGACCTGTGCCCGGTATCGCTAGTTGAGCATCGGATTGACAAAGGAGGGCACCAAGGTCATGTCAAACTGTTCGGTTGTGTAACTTGTGTGAAGGGCAGGACCGCTATCTAGCACTCGCTATCCTACCGCAGAGCAAGAGAGCTAGTGCATGAAGCTCTGAAGTGTATCGGCGTAAACCCGGACGAGTATGGTTTACACAGTTTGAGGTTGGGAGGTGTACCTATGGCTGCTGCAGCAGGAGTACCAGATAGGCCCGTTCAGCGACAGGAAGGAAGGCGAAGTGATGCTATGCAGGCTTACATTCAGGAGTCCCTACCCAATCTACCGCAGGTGTTCCAAGTGCTAACTGTTGTGCTTTATCTTCCTTGTTTTGGCTGCCCCTGTCCCAATTGTCTGCTCTGTGGTGAGGCGTTTGTGTGTGTGTAAGAACATGGAGGCGCGTTTGTGTGTGTGTGTGTGATGTGATGTGAGTGTGTGTAGGAGTGTGTATGTGTAGGCATGCTTGTGTGCAGTTGTGTATGTCGTACGAGCATGTGGAGAAAAATTCATTTCTTGTCGGCTGAGTTGTTTTACGAAATAAACAAGAAACGTTGTTCTTTTCGAAAGAACATGTCTGGGATAGAGGTAGTACAGTTTGGGTGTACTGGTATGCCGCAGTGCCTCATATTTTGTTTTCTTGCTTTGCAAGCTGGTTTCTTTCCCTCCCTGTGAGGAGCTTTGTACGTTTTCTCAAGCTGGTCGTGGTAGTAACAGTGTTCGGTTCTTTTGTCTGAAAGATTTGTCGCTGAAAGATTTGTCGCTGTTGCTGCTGCCATATGTAGTTTATAAGTCAAAGGAGTGAAACGTGTGTGTGCTCTGTTGATTGTAGCGCGATTCTATTTATGGTGTGCCTTGCACCATGCTGTTACCTTCTGGGGTGTTTTTTCTGCTGGATGTTTCTGTTTATGTTCTGGATACAAGAGTGCAACCAGTTTTGCCATGGCTGCCCCCGCAGTTGTTTGTCCTGTGGTGGAATGTGGGAGTATGCGTATGTGGGAGTATGCGTATGAGCGTGTAGGAGTGAGTGTGTGTGTGTGTGTGTGTGTGTGTGTGTGTGTGTGCGCATGTGTGTGTGTGTGTGTGTGTGTGTGTGTGTGTGCGCATGTGTGTGTGTGTGTGTGTGTGTGTGTGTGTGGAAACAGCCGTTCACGTCCTGCCGGACTGCCTCATGCCGCGTACCGAAGACAGCACTCCTTCAAGTCGCCCCGTTTGGGGGCACATAGCCAATCGTGGCAGTGGGCGAAGGAAGGAAGGATGGGTGTGTGTGTGTGTGTGTGTGTGTGTGTGTGTGTGTGCCGAAACAATTGCTGTTTGGCGAGGTGCCTGCCCCCGTCCTCCTCACGGCCCGAAGAAGAGGTGGCGAGATGTGGTGTCGACTGACCTGGCGGACCTAAGCGTGACCACCTGGCTTGAGAGTTGTCAAGATCGTCCCTGTTGGAGACGGGTTGTGTGTAGCACTCCACCGCCACGGCCCGCTCCTGATCCTCTTCTCTGTGTCTGTGGACGCCCGTTTCGCTGACGAGGTGACCTGAAACGACATGCCAAATTCTGCGCTCGTGTTCTCACTTGAACTTTCCGACATTCGCTATCATTCCGTACACAATGGGCAAGGTCAAGGTGTGTGTGTGTGTGTGTGTGTGTGTGTGTGTGTGTGTGTGTGTGTGTGTGTGTGTGTGTGTGTGTGTGTGTGTGTGTGTGTGTGTGTAGATGCCCATGGCATGTGTTGAATTTCGGAGAGAAAAAGAGCAATATGAGTCATGAAGCCCGCTTTTGCCAGTGAAGCTTCGATATTTTGCTGGCTCATCTTCCATATTCTGCTTTTATTTTGCTCCGGTATGGGGCAGAATTAGTGTCACGTGTGGGAAAACTGACTGAAAGTGGGTCACGTGTTGGCAAACTGAGAGAAAGTGAGCCACGTGTTCGAAAAATACCCGGTATGCGTCTAGTAGCCGTCTAGTACTATGCGAAGATGAGTCACGTGCACCGTGTAAGACTAAAGTCTCCCCCGGGCCCCGGCGCGCGACCCCCCCCCCCCCCCCCCAGTCCTTTTTTTCACTTGTGCACAACCATGATAACCAGAAACATAATAATATGTAGCGCAAAATAAAGAGAAGGAAAATAATAACCGGTCAAGCGCTAAATACAAACAGAAGAAAAAGAAATCATAAGCCAATACCCGCTAAACTGCGGTAAATTTTAATGAAGGGAGAAAAACTGGAATCCGTGGAAATTATAACATACCGTATTTCCGCAAATAAAAGGCCGTCCTCGTTTACAACGCCTTCCTCGTATACAAGGCCGGGGCAGGGGGCGATTGAAAAAATAAAAGACCGTCTCCGATTAGAAGACCGGGCCTACTAAATGAGTCTTTGTTCTTGTGTTAAAAATAGAAGACCGTGCTCAAACTGTGGGAAAAAATAGAAGACCGTGCTCAAACTGTGTAGAAGAAAATGGAAGAGCGGGGGTAAAACTGTGTGGCGAGAAATAGAAGACCGGGGTCAAACTGGGTTGAAAGAATAAAAGACCGTCCTCGAATACAAGACCGTCCTCGATTATAAGGCCGGGTTAGGACGAGGTTGAAAAAATAGTAGACCGGCCTACTATTTGTGGAAATACGGTACAACCCCCCCCCCCCCGGCCCCCCATAATATGGCCCAGTGCAGTCCCCAATGAATTATTTCCAGCGCGAACATACCGATATTATTGCTCCGTTTTTGCCAGCAAATATTCTTGTCAAATTAAAATTAATTCTTCGAGATTTTGCTGGCAAAATCGGGCTATGTCTAGTCTTTGCAGCTGCTTCACATGACCACACAGCTACAGGGCGCCAGACTGGCGCCAGTGGCAGTGGGCGCCACACTGGTACTGTGGCAGGGCACTGCTGCTGCAACATTACTCTCGTCAGACTCATGAGCTCAGAGAGCAAGAGTAGTCTACGTCTCAGTATCGGAGCAAAAATTGTAGGCCTGGATCATCATCATGATTGTCTTTCATGATCATGGAAAGATCTGCCGACACACGCCTGGAGCATGGGGGCATGCATGGCATGATTCCTTGCGTGAAAGGATAGCTTTTCAAAAAGCAAACTTCTTCTCCAAAATTTGAAAATTTGAAATTTCCTTCCGAACATGCTGTCGTCCTCGACCTCAAAGCCGAATGCTGTTAGGAGTGAAGATTAGCGAAGATGTGGCCAAACCCGGTCTGGCAAGCCGTGTGCCCTCTGGATATGCAGGTGTTCTTCCCCTTTGTTCGTCCTTTCACTTTCCTGACCACGAATACAAGCGAGCGGTACCCATGCTCAGGTTAGTGTGTATTTGTCTGTCTATTCACATACTTGAAATACATTGTACTGTTCGTGATGCAGGCTCTGGCCGATCATGGAAATAGAGGAAGCAGCCAGCTTTCTTTGAATTCTTGTCCTTTCCACCAAAAAATCAACACACTTTCCTTGGCTCCTCTTCCCCACCATGCATGCTGCACAATTGCGCTTGCTTTTCAACTTCGTATTTTTGTTTGGCACTGCGTTCATGGGTGTCCTTCAGCCTTCCCTGGCATGGAAAATTGAAAATAGTTATGTCCACAAAGCAGACAGTGAGGAACCATTCGAGATAAATACTAAACATATAGCCGTTGTATTATTTAAAGGCCTCTTGCACACTAGGTACTAGTAGTACCGTAAAGTACCGCGAGAGCGCCCCGTCTTGCGAGAGCGCCCCACCTTGATTTTACAGCCAGGGAAAGGAAAATCGTATGGCAGAGTGAAACGAAGTTTGTGCGATGTGAGACCCTTAGTGTACTAAGGGCACACTTGGCAGGTTTTTGTGTAGAGCTTGTGTCCACTCGAAGGTACGGATTGACCGCAAAATGTGGAATATGTGTACAAGGTTCGTGTCGTATGACCTACAGACAGCAGACCACCTCCACAATACGACCACGAAAGGATGAGATGGTGGGGCGCTCTGGCGGTACTTTACGGTACATGTAAAACGCAACCAACTTGTGCATACGTTGCATGCTGTAAAAGCAGAAATTTTCGGTGGTGTAATATTTTCGGTATTCTCCAAAATCGGCGGTTCGGTAGAGGGAAATTTTCGGTAAAACCTGTTTTCCAGCTAAGTGTACTTGTACTACATGTATACGTACCGGCAGTACCGAAATTTTCCGTGCGTTTTATTTTTGGTAAAAACTGTCGGCACCGAAGTTACCAAAAATAAAACACCACCGGAAATTTCTGCTTTTACAGTATGCGCAAGCCTGTTCAAGTGCAGTTGCACACTGACAAGGGACCTGCTTTTACGTGTTCAATGCCTGAAGAAAATGACTGAAAAATTCAAAAGATACGGTACGAAAAATGCTCTTCTCAGAACGAGTGCTTTCAGCTGCTTTCTGTTTGTCGTGTTTGACTTCGTTCGTGTCGTTCGTGTTGTACCTATGCCCATGACCCTCAGGTTGACTCCGGAAAGGAGATAATTTCATTAAACTCGGATGTTGAGCCAATAGCATAATTTAGAGCAGGAAAAGGAACATATGTGTAACTAGATACTATTATACTAGTACTAGACAGTAGACACCCTTAGCAAACAACGGTAACGCTAATTTTTTACGGTACTCGTACCTTGATCACCCTAATAGCGTTGAAGCTGCAGCGTAAAACGTTATAGGGGCTGATTTATCGTTGTGACCAGCGGTACGTGTTTTGCCCAAATATTGCATAGTCTGTACGCATTTCACCTTGCATTGCGTATATGGTGACATAAATGGTTGTGCCGCGCGAAATAAAAGCTGTTAGAGAGGTTTCGCTTCACGTTGTTCTGCACTACACCGTGAAACTCGCGTTCACGTCGAACGTGAGTTGACCTCAGCTCACGTCATGAACGGGAGTTTCGACGCCAACATTTGCCACACCGACGTGAAATTTCATGGTGTAGTGCAGAACAACGTGAAGCGAAATCTCCCTATTCTCGTGGCAACAGCGTACTAAAAATTGCGTGCATCTTGCTAAAGGTGGAACCAAAATCACGTTATTTTCCCCCTTACGGTAACACCGTTTACAACATAGCGTTTTTGCTAAGGGTGTCTACTGTCAGAAAGTGCAACAACTAGGCACCAAACTGACAGAGTACTGAGACATTCGACGACCTGACCCCTCTTGGGGCTCTCCTTAACCTAGAACCTTTCGAGTTCGAAGGCTGTTTGGTCAGCGCTTCAGAGATGTGTTGAAGGTAATTGTCAGGTCGTCGAATGTCTCAGTACTCTGTCAGTTTTGTGCCTAGTTGTCGCACTTTCTAACTGTACTATAGTATCTAGTTACAGTTGTGGACAGTTACTGTTAACTCGTAACCATTATGTTCCTTTCCTTCCTCAATACTCTAAATTCAGAAATTTTCGGTGCTCAATATTTTCGGTATGAGGACAAAAGGCCAGGTTAGGTGAACAGAATTTTTAGGTACAGAGAAGCAGTTCCCTATTGGATTATGTGTGTAAGTGTTTGTTCGGTGTATAGACATTTTAGGTAGGAAAGTCTAGGGCTGAAATGATCATTCGATAACTCCTAGCGATCAACCGATATCGTTAACGATCGATTTATTGGTTTTATCGATTCTTGTTGGCTCTACCCGTGTACGTTGAACACCTGTTTAGGAAGAAATTGCATAAAACCTTCGCTACATTAGAGATGTTTGGCACCGCACTGTTGACATTTGAATCTTGTCATCACCCTCTGGCAACTGCTCTTATCTTCTCTCCCGATCTCTTTCAAAGCCACAAATGAATTTTATTGTGCTTGAAAGTACATGATTGTACTCATGTTTTCGATTTCGACAGCATGTTACAAGGCGGGGACGCATAGTGCTCCTGACTACAACCATAACCCGGTTGGCAGAGTATCAAGCAAGGCTTCTATTATATATACACTGATTGTACTCGTATTCACTATCGGATGGAGTCCAAGGGCTAGAATGCTGTCACTGATGTGCATGCATCAAAATCGTTAGCACTCGTTTTGAACACTAACGATTATCGACTGCACTCTGAACGATCGATATGCGAGTTATCGGTATAATTGTTTCAGCCCTATATGAAACAGATGCATCGAAAGTACCAAAAATAAAAGTACACCGAAAATTTGTGTAATAATTACAGTCATTTCATATTGTTCTTTTTGAAGAAATAACATTGCCGACCCCACAAGGAGTACTGAGATATTCAGCGACCTGACACCTAGCTCCAACACTTCTCCAAGGCGCAAACCAGCAACCTTATCAACCTTGGATAAGTGTTGCAGCTAGGTGTCAGCTCACTGAATGTCTCAGTGCTCCTTGTCAGTTTTGGGCCATTTTGTCGCACTCGCTGAAAATATGAGCAGTTTGAGGCCATTTTCCCAAAAATTCCCGCTGAGGACGTCCACAGGACCCCCACCTCTCCATAGGCACACCAATGTTGAATACCTCCAGACGCCTCTCAAAAGTATACTCGCATACACTTTCAAGATGTTCAAGAGCCTGAAGTGCGTCCTTTTCCTTACAGTATTCAGTTCTGATTCTGGTATAGGGCGTGTTACAGCAACTGATGAGGGGTTCCCATGCACATCCTATTTCTACGGAGGGGACAGAATGCGGGTGATTTCATCGGTGCTCACGGGACGGCCCTTGCTTAGGACCACGTCTCGAGGGAGGGTGCACGCAAAACTTCTTTTCTCAGAGGGCCTTAAACTGTGGAAGCACCTCGTGATGTCTGGCCTGCTCTTGTGATGTTAAGTCGTGGTTGATGAAAACATCATGTGTGCCATATTTAGCAGTACGTTTGCTGTACATCAACACTCTCTTTCCTTCACCGTGAGCTTTACTCTGACCAGTCTTGGGCCAGTGCGGGTGCTCCCAATGCTGCCAGTAGCCTTACTTCGCTTCTTCGGTGTAATGCGCTCTGCGCTGAGGACATCACCATCACTGAGACCAGACTACCTGCAGCATTGCTGCCGCCGGGTATAAAACTGGCACATTGCAGGAACGGTTTAAGGAACGTGGTCTTGCCAACCCCACAGAAAAAGGAGATGTAATAACATCCGGTTGAGACGTACATGGCTTGAACTGCAGCAAGTCGCCGTAACTCCGGGACCTTTGCAAGATCAGGATCATTTATGATGGACTCTATGATCTGGCTACGGTCCTGATAGCGATGCTATGCTGAGCCTAGTATGCTCAGCTCTACAAAAACACTCCGAGATCCATCATTATTTCCGGCTGGGTCATGCAGGCATGGTATGTTGTACGAAACGTCTGGCATGCTGCCATATCCGTGAATCTGCTTCCTCTGCATTCGACTGCAGATTTGGTATTAGGTATGCCTGGTTGATGGGATCCTGCACGCGACTTGCAGCATTAGGCCTGTTACAGTGTACGCCTGCAGTGACGAACCACTGATAATCTGTTACCATGACATTCCTGGAAAGTGCCAAGCATGAACTGCATAAAAACTCAATCAGAGATTTCTTGCACTCTCTGCAGGCCAAAAACTTGCGCCATCCATTTGGTAGGTGCGTTGTATTTGTAATCACAATGTGCTGATGGCACTCTTCAGTTTCGACACACTCATCCCTGCTTGCCCACAGTAGGTCTTTTGGGCTAGGGCCATCAACATTAGGGAAATGAAAATACGAAGTGGATGGTTCCGACCTGCCGTATAAACCATGGTGCTACCCATTGATGCACTAGAAAGGCCGTGTAGTCACCGAAGGTCCGCTGTGACGCTACTGGTGAAGTGTTTATTAGAAACATTGCATCATAGCTACCACAGAAGTTGCCTTGCAGATGTCCTGTGGGAGAGCATTGCTTGTAACACCAGCCCAACGTTCTTCATGCACCTTTGTGATTGTACTCTTGACACCTTTTCTAGGAGTGGTGCTGTCTTCCGTCAGTGCGCGTGGCGTGAGTAACAATTGTTCTCTGACACCACTTGCGTACTGGCTTTGAAACTGTGACCATGCCAGTCTGCGTTTTAGTCACCACTTTTTGTTCCCTCTCTTTCTGGCTGGTAGGTCATTTCCGTTTGGTAGCCGGCGCGAAGGTTCGAAGGCTCTGCTGTCTACGAGGAGGTGCTGCCATAGGTATGTGCATTATTCGAGACTTCACGTATGCTGTCAGTTCTGTTGTACCTGTTTCATTGAATGATAGGATGTCTACGTGCTGCTCATTGGTTGCCACTGTTCCAGTAAAGATGTTTTGGAGATCTCGGTTGTTACTTGTGATGTTGAACACGCCAGCCTTTTGGACTAATGCCATTATTGCCTCGACATTCTCCTTTCGAATCCTGTCTTTTGTGCTGTCCTTTCTACTAGGCTCTGTAGTGGGTTCATCTTTCTCTTCCATTGGCTTCATGCGCGAGCAAGCGGAATTCGTGGCATTTACGAAAGTTTGAACAGCATTCTCGAGATGTCAGTCCTTCACCCTTGTACCCCGTGGCCTTTGCCATCCGTTTCAAACCAGCATCCCAGTATACATTCAGTAGGCAAGGCTGTATGGCTTTCAGGGTGTGCCAATTGCCAGGAAAGGGTACAAGCCATGCAAACGCACTGCCATATTCATCCTGCAACTTCAACACGTTATAGGCTTTTCCATCACCCACAACCAGAAGCAATTGTAGCTGTTTGCCTATTCCATAGGTAACATACAGTTGGTCCAATACCAAGCTGATAGTCTCTTTGCTGTCTGCCAGCTTGTCCAACAAACCGAGGTAAACAACGTTGGCCACCTCTGGGTTGCAGAGATCTTGCCCGTCCTTCAAGTGATTTCTCAAGTCACTCTTGCCATCCCAGCCTGTATGTATTTCATGCAGATCCATTCTCAGTGTGTTGAATAGCTCTTCGTCTTTGGCAGTTGGTAGGAAGTGTTTTATTGTTGCGTGTGTGTGATCATACCCACGATCGCATGCAGGTGTGGTTTCTTCTCTGGCCTCTGCACAAAAAGGCTAGGTGATTTCTGCTTCTGTGCCAACCGTTGGTTCTGTATCGTCCACTTGTTTCTGCAGTGTGTCGGACAGTGCACCTGCTGCAGCTTGTCGTCCTGACTGCTCGGCGACAGATTCCGTAGTCCCACTAAAGTGAGTACCACCTTCTGTGTCTTCCTGCCATAGTGTGATTTCGTCGCAAATACACAAGTCGGCCAGTTGGTCAGTTTCACTTTCCACTCCAATCTATTGGCGTTATGTGAGTGGGACCTGTCTGTTCGTGCAGTGTTCTACTTCGACGCCGCTTCACCTAAGTTTCCTCACCAGTGCTTGTCGTGGTTGCAGCATGGCAGACAAATGGCTGTGAAACTCCGTCTGTAGCATTTGCATCTAGTGGACTGATGACGTCACCACTCAATGGCAGTGGGTTCACATGCTGGACCGATGTGCCATGTAGCCCTCTGCTAGCATCCTGGCAATACATACGTTTCCAGGGTACGTCTTTGTCGATATTAGAGAGGCTAAGATGCACGTTATTTCCGACGTGACGCATAATTTCACGTCAACTTTATCGTTGTTTTTCGACGCGCGAGCCAAATAATGCAAGCTGAACTTTCACGTCACGTCAAAAATTACGTTGATCTTAACCTCTCTATTGTCCACAGATACCACACTCAGCTTGTCTAGTTGTGGGCTCTGAATGCCATTCTCTTTTGCTATGTCCACTATTGTCATCCTGTATCTACTGTAGGTATCACGGCCCGCCGTTATTCCCAGTTGAGAAAAGATCCCTGCAAGTGTACTTGACTGGCTGTATGTGTCTAACACGTCTGCAAGCACCAACTGAAGCGGGTAAGTGCAAGCTGGATGACTTATATGAAGGACTGTCGGCACCACTAGCAGGCAGCACAGGTACTTTGTGTGTGTGAAGCTTTATACTGGGAATCGAATGAGAGTGAGCTGGAATTGTCACCATACAACATTGCCTAAGCCCATGGCCATAGGTTGGTGTCTGTAGTCTGACAGACCGATAGCAAATCCAATTTTAAAATTCCTTAGCTCCTCGGAACTCTGGTACTCTCGTCCAGCGTATGCACCTACCTGCTCCATGAAAATTTGGTGGGTAGCTTGGGCAGCTGTACCTGTGGACGCCCTGCGTACGCCGTTTGTGTTTGCGTTGTATTCGTCCTTTGGGACTGTGTGCAGGCACCGGGATTGCTCCCTGCTGGACAGCGCCTGGCGCAGAGCTTGGGCGGTGTCACAGCCGGTTTGCATGAGCGTGATGCCACCCTTCTTAGCTTTGGGGTTTACATTTAATGTGTGCTTCTAGCTCCTCCTGGATCAGTAACACCAGAGATATTGCTTGTTTTTTTTTTGTTGGGGGAATGTCGTGTGTCTGGCATTGATGAATATAGTATTCATACCATTAAATTAAGGCTGCGCCTTGACTGGCAGAGAGCAACCGACGCTCTTTGATTTTCCTAGTGTCCCAAATTTGCTATGACCAACTCGTTCACACAGCGGATCTTGTCCGTATGACGTTGTCATGTGAGAATACACGCTAGTGACGCAGTGGATGTGTGGGCGCTAATAATGGGCGCAGCAATTCTCTATACAGTCATGTCTGGCTCTTATCTTGTTTTCCCCTCTCTCTTATCTATCTTTTTTCTTTCTTTTTCTTTTATGTCCTTCTCTATTTTTCTTGGCGCGCTTTGTCTGTGCAGACGCCGAGACCACCAAGGTCGGCTGAGCAGCAGGGCCCCGCCACCACTTTCTGCATTCATTCGGGAGCATAGCATAGTGGACTTAGTAAAACAATTGACAAATAGCATTGCTCCATTGTGTAACAGTTTATCTGCTTCGGCAAGCACTTCACCTTCTGCCTGGCATTGAACTGATTTGTTCGCGGTTTTGCTTTCTTGGGCTGCAGAATGTTTCAAGCGTGCAATTATTACCCGGAGCTGATGGTCTGTGGTGTAACTGCCTTCCTCTTCAACCATCATCAGCAGCTTGAACTAGCAGCTTCGACAAAATTTGTCCGTGTCTCTGATTCTTATCCCTTTGTCGACTCGGAGGAAATGCTCAACAACCATTTAATTTGGACACTTCCATTTACGAACTTAGAAGTTGCGACTTCGGCGGTAATGTCATGAAGTTGGTTGCTCCAACGAGGAGCACACGCTTCTTGCCGAACTTGACACTTGACTGACTCACGACTGCCATCCGGAGCATACCAGGAGCACGTCGCACCTTCCGCTCGGCAAACCTGAAAGAAAGCACCACTCCCTGCTCAATACACAGTGTTTCGGGGAATTCACCCCTCATCAGTTGAGCTTGAGTAGGCTGAGGAAGATTGTGCCTGAAAAGCACCACTTATATACTGCTCTCCAGGCCAAACCATCACCAGGGATACAAACTTACAGAGACGCTTTGTTTCCAGCGCGACAAACACCTCGTGAAGCCCCAGGATGGCAGTCGTGAGTCAGTCAAGTGTCAAGTTCGGCAAGAAGCGTGTGCTCCTCGTTGGAGCAACCAACTTCACTTCCATTTAGTAAAGAAAAACGGACCAAGAAACTACAAGTTACGCTATAATGTCCACTAACACCACTAGTTACTAAACAATGAGCTCATGCGATAACATTGCACGGCACTGACCGACTTTACTGACGTTCTACAACTAACTACAACTACAACTTTTTCTTTTCTATAAATTTATCCTTGGCTCTCCATCCGAGTCCATACTTAGCCTCGTAATTGCGGAAATTCTTTCTATACCAGCCACAGCGTTCTTCTTCCCCATACCTTCTACTACTTGTTCGGAATCGTCTTCTGTGTTACGTTCTTTCATTTCCGTTACATCTTTTTTCTTCCTTTTTTTGTGTGTTAACATTTCGACGGAATGCCTTTATGCATCTCCAACAGATACAGGCAGTGTGTTCTTATGTGGATGCGACTGGATAGGTTTCCAAATGCCCTTGGTGTATTCTTGATGTATTCCCAGTCATCGAGAACACATGGTTGGGTAAACCACTTACCAGGCAGCTCGCATCCGCAGCAGATACACTCGGGCCCACATGGAGACTGTGGGTGGGTATTTAGTGCACTAGGGAGGCGTCCCAACACGAAAGCCTCGGTGGCCGAGGCTTTCGCAAATCGCGCGTCGCCTCGCAGAAAGTTGTATTGTGAATCAGGGAGTCGTATTTTACGACTCCCTGTTGTGAATCGCCCTTTACACGCTTTAGGACTTGGGCCCAATCCTGAAGTTAAGCGGGATTCACAGAAGCTTTTTTGCGATGCGACACGCGATGCGACTGACGCGAAACCGGGAAAGCCCCAAACCGCAGCCATCTCGCACCCCACACAACTGCCGCAACTGGGCCATCGCAGGAGTTGAGCTTGGCTCAACTTTTGCGATGCGACAAGCAATTTGGCGTACGATTTTGACCTTTTCTACAGCAAAGTTGTACAAAGGTTCAAGAGTTGCATATACATGTACTTATTCAAGTTGTACCAAACCACGCGAATGTCATGGTGACGTACCCAAATCAGCAAGACTTTGTCGCATCGCTGACTTCTTCTGTGAATGGTATTTCGCGAGTTCGCATCGCACGCGTCCATCGCAGATCCCGTCGCATCGCAAAAAAGCTTCTGTGAATCCCGCTTTATTTCTCATTGGTTTGTTTTGTTGTTTTGCATTTACATGGATCAACAGGAATAAAAATATGAGTAAGAAAAGCTGGCAGAATCGCTTTTCTAAATATTGTTCATCACGCTTCAATACCGATTCACATTATACACCTTTTTTGCGAAGTAGCGCATGTCGCAACAGTTGAACTTCTTTCAACTTCTGCGACAGGTACCTTGCGACTGTATGCGACAGCTCGCATCAGGCATTTTCTTGTCGCAACTGTTGCAAATCGCGTGTCGCGTCGCAAAAAAAGTTGTATTGAGAATGGGCCTTGGCTCTCATACCGTACTTCTCCACATAAAAGCGCATGTACATAATTATCAAGAGTACGAGTCGTACTGTAAAACCGGAAAGTCTAACGACCAAAAAGTTTAACGTTTTTATAATTTTGGCATGATTACGTGCAGAAAGTTTAACGATGGCTAGCTGGCAACCCATCTGTATGCGCATCTTCACACAGACACCTAGTGATAACGGTTTTTTCAAATAACGAAAAATAATATTATTGGTCGTTAAAAACGTTAGACTTTGTGACTCGTTAGACTTTCCGGTTTTATAGTACATAATGGGGTTATGTATTCTTGATATTATTATGTACATGTAACACCGAACATTTGCTGCAAAAAGAGTTTTTGCTGTGTAAAGATGTCCGGGTAGAAGCACATGCGCTTTATACCTTGTTTATCCGGGCAGTCTAGGGCCGGGCCCATTACTTCAATATGTCCGTAACTCCGAATCACACACATTTTGATGGGGAAAGGCCACCTACATGCGGGGAATAATTTAACTTGTATCGCATCGCAGTTTGCTATACAATTCTTCTGAGGTGCGAAGCAACTTCAGACTTGTGTCGCATAAAACTGCGATGTATGTTGATTTTTCACTGTACCCTATGATGCACAGTGTACATGCTGGGTGTGTCTCGTAGGGATGAAATAGATTTTATTGGCTTTTGGGGAAAAAAATACTGTTTATAAAATACCACTAAGGCCAATAAACACTGTTTATAAAATACTCCTTTTTAGGGAAAGTGAAGGTCAACCTATGTATAATAAATGTAGGAGCCTCAGGATTTCTTGCAATTACATACCAGTTTAAAAATCTCGGAGGACCTCGGTTTTTATACTGGTATGCTTCGGCTCTACATTTATTATATACATACTTGAAGTATAAACATAAGAATATTATACTTTCACATAAAACAAGCTCGGTGCAGCACTAATCACGGCAGGGGAACCCGACCCTCCACCATCGCCAACTCACGAAGCATGTGAACTGGACGGTGACGGGCCGACCGAACACCCCTGACACACAATACAGCGGAACGTAGCAGCGCGAAAGACACCCGACAGCGATAGTATCCCATCAACGACGAATAGCTACATGTACCTCCCGAAGATTGAGATGTGAGCAGGCAAAGGCGCCTGAGGAAGGCCGTGGATGCCGGCGCAGCTGCCCCATTCACGGAAAACATTGCAAGAACTTACTAGTACAATAGTCATGCAGTTAGTCAGGATCGTACATTGGATTGGCAGATATAAATAGCTTCCGTGATCCGTCTTTTAAGAAACCGGTGCGAGAAGGTCAGCGGGAAACCTTTTAAACAATCATACACTACCCAGTTTTTATTTCGCCGTCTCGGCTGGGCTCAATGGTGATGTTTCGCCACTACAGTACGCAGTATCTATGACAGAATTTCTAGGCGCAAATAAAATTTCTTCTAGGCGTTGCTCTAGGCGTTGTTTGGGCAACCAAAGTCACAGATTTGGTTTTGCAAACTTGACTGATTGCTGAAGCATCGAAACCAGAGAGCTCGATTCTTTCAAGTAGATCATGGCTGTAAGGAATTGTCTTTGTGTTATGAATATGGTTTGGAAATGGTGGTAATAATAATGATGGTACATGTAGATGGGGATAATCAAAAAGGATATACCCAGTAATATCGAAGGGGTCAGAGAGCGAAAGGTAACACATGGGCATGAGTTGTGAAGTAACTATCCACTACGGCAACAAGATACTGTCCGAATGAAATATCATAGAGGTCGTGATATCATAAACTCATCGACATATTTGACGGATAGGGACCAGCAAACATAGGGCCGTTGTTTTCCAAAGAGACTTTATCAAAATAGCGCTGATTGCACGGAAATAATTCAAATTAATACTTGGATAAATAGCAGGCGGATTGTAACGTTAGAGATTATGAAGGGAAAGAAATATTTAGCTGTATTTGAGGCGTAGATCTACGCTCATAGAATCTGATTTGTGCAGACCAAGTTAATTACACTAGCAAAATGGAAACGTATACACTACATTACGCCGTCGTAAATCTCTCAGCAAAAGTTGGTGCAAAATCATTTCAAAAAAATGATGCTACATCAGCATTCATACCTACGACATGATACTTCCCTGTTGCAGCGCTGCCCGACCAGAACTGCCTTAAACTGCATCTCCCAGTGCTCATCAACCTTCTTCAGATAACTAAATGGGTACTTAATGTCAAGGCAATTGCAGTCTTCAAAATGGGGAGTTCTGTTGTGTGGTGTTAACTCATAGTGGAGTCGTGGAAATGTAACCACCGCTGGCACGAATTCGGCACACCGGACCTCCTGGCTGCAATTTCCGTGGCGTTTCCTCTGACGGAGCGTGGCTGACTTGGGTAGATGACTCGATGAACGTCGGCCATGTTTCTTGCAATCAATCAAGTAGAGTCCGTAGTTCTTCCATCCGTCTCCAAGATCTGCCGTGACGTTACTATAAATTCGAACATCCGTTAGATTTCTCATGCCCGCCTCAGCATGGTTAGCAAACATCATGATTGTCAAGGCAACCGACAGAGCACTGAATAGGGTCTGTGCAGGGACATGGACAAGAAACAAGGAAATCGGTAAGGTTTGGCGAATCATGAGCCGGGGGCGGGGAGGGGCGTTTAACAAAATCTGTACATGTATTACCGAGATGCCATTAATCATTCGTATATCAAATCCTAATTGAAGGGGTTGCGGTACAAATGATGTCGCTCAGAAATGCGCTCATGACATTACTTACTGGATATGTTAGACTGCTGTATCCTTGTCTTGCCATTGTTTCTTCCTATTGATAATAGTCCCGAAGCAACTATCTACTCAACTAACACACTGTCGGTAATATAGATGTACGTATCACTTGTACGTTTCTCAGAACTTTGACTTCAACAAATTATCTCCTAGTTCGTCGACTCTCTTATGCTTTTCTCTCCTCAACCACGCTGATTTTTATAGTAATTCGAAGGCGGTCCGGACATCATTCTTTGCCAGCGACAGTCCAGGGAAATACATATACATGTAGGTAGATTCTCGACAAGTAACGTTGCACTCCGCCTTGTCAGATAAAATCTCCCAAATCCAACCTGGACGGCTGGAGTGCGTTTCTCGGTGT